GGATGACCTCTACTGAAAGGTCATTCTATTTAGGCTCCATCTTATTGCTCATATAATAAAAGGCTAACTCAAGTTTATACATATAGCTGAGGAAGGATTCCAAGAAAGAGAATGGCAGTAGGTCAAAACTATTAAGGCCTAGAATTGGCACTAATAAGCTATCAGGTCAGTCCAAATTCCAGATGTAAGGAACAAAACTCTACTTTTTTAATGCAAGGAACTGTAAGGTCATTTTTCAAAGAGCATAAACACAGGGAGGGGTGGAGAATTGTGAAGTTTTCCATAATCTCTAATTAAAGTATTAATTTCCACATTGAAGGCAAATATCATCCAAGAATGAAAGTTGACATTTGGGCCAAACTTACAAAGTAAAGAAGAAGTTATTATTTTAGAACCTACTGGGCTGAAATAAACTGGAACCTACCTCAGTTTATAGATGACCTTAATCGGGATCAAATAGTAATGGGCTAATAATATCCAATCTTACATAACAAGGTAATTCAAAATAGAAATTCCATGAAGTTTGAACTCTAATAATGAAGAAAATATATTGAAAAATTAGTACCAATCTAAGAATCATAAATGGCAGTCTCCACGCTATGGGAGCAAGAGTACTCGTGCTTGGGAGTCTCGACATTCCGTCATGTCAGTCAGACTGCCTGTCGTTATAAGTCCTGGTAAACATTACAGATGCCATCCAAATTTTTTATTTTATCTTGTGTAACAATGGGGATAGTAGCTCTAAAAAGTGTTGTGCCTCTCTGTTCCTAGTTGATACAAAGAATAAGGGGAGAAGTAAAATTAGGCTGTAAATTCACTACATCTTGAAAAACACTTATGAGGACATAGCCTGGTAAACCCATACAGGTAATATACTGTTAGCCACAGAAAATATTGTTATTGCCATACTGCAAGATAATAGTAATATGTTTTTAAGAGATTCAAAAGGGAAAAATCCAAAAATAGTAACAAAAACCACCACAAAACCTTCTGTACCATATTCAGTATTTTATTATAAGAAGGAAATTGGAAGCAAACTAAATGTCCAACAACATAGATAGTTAAGTAATTATAGTATTTTCATTGGGTACAATATTGTGGAACCAAAAATGGTGTTTATAAAGGCTGTGCATCAACATCAAAAAGGAAAAGTATAATCCTAAGTGGAAATAAGATAGAGAATTGTGTGCAAAACAAAATGATAAGAGTGTGTAGAATTCTATGCAGTGCTAGTGGGAGGTACCTTTTGGAACTCCTTGTTTTTGAGAGCCTTAGAATGTTCATATCTTTTGACTAAGTTACTCAATTTCTAAAGCTATATCTAAATAATTATCTGAAATGAAAAGTTTTGGAAAGAAGAACTGTTATTACATTACTGAAGCTTTTCTCTCTTTATTTTGTAAAGAACTCAAAACAGCCTAAATGTCTAGAAAGAATGTAATGATTAAACAAATTATAGCTTGCCTATTTGCAAATTATATAGCTATTAAGAATATAAACATTTAATGACAAAATAAATTTATAAATTTAAAAGATAAGGTAGTATTAATTTTAAAAGTGGTATATACAATAAAAATCACTGTAAAAAGCAGTATATAAGATAATATTGCTATTTCATTTAAAGCTATATAGAGAAAAATAAAAGTACACCAACAACTTAATAGTATATTTAGTAGAAATATATAAAAAGTGTAACAGTGATTATCAGTGGTTACATAAGGACAATTTCTGAATGCTCTTACTCTTTATTATTCTTTCTTATATTTCCAATTTGTATATGGTGAGGTATAGTATATATTGCTTTGGTAATTAGAAAACAACTATAAAAAGCCTAAGTAAAAAAACGAAAAGAAAATATACTAGCATTAAGTTAGGATTATTGATTAAGGATTGTATACTTGTTTTTTCTAATTTTCACATTTTGGACTGTTGTTATGTTAAACTTATAATTTCCAAAACTATAAATTTTAATGAGATGATCTATGTCATACCTTATTTATTTTCTGGTAGTACACTAATAATAACACTTTAGATTTATATGAGAATTGACCAGTAGTAGAATCTAATACTTGTACTACTTCATTTGATTCTCACAGCACTGGTGTGAAGTAGAAATCACCACACCACAGTTGCAGAAACTGAGGCTCAGAGGTCTGCCCGGTCATGTGGACCAGTGGATAGACCTCATACTGCCAGACCTCATTGGACCAGTGTGGGACTCAGTGGCCGTGTTTCCCAAGGCAGTGTTCTCTCAGCTCCCACGGACTCCCTGCAGTTCTCCCTGGAGTGATAACACACTGCGTGCATCATTGCAGACATGACACAAATGCTGTAAGCAACTAAGATGTTTCCCAGGAGAGAGTGACTTCAACTCGCTTTATAACCACTCTTTCCACTGTCCCCGTAGTGATTATTGTTTTAGAAGTTGGACTTTGATGTTCCAGTTAGTGATTTTCCAACACACCTCCACTCCCGTGATATTCTCAACTAATGAAGCAGTGATATAGTCTTTGCATGAAGTACTTTTTAATTAACCAGTGATTCCCAAGTTGTTCAGCCTGGGTTTGGGACTGGCAAGCTATATTCAAACTGACAAGCTAGTACACATGATCTCTTCATTTAAATAGTGACATCTGACATTAAGCTCAATAAAGATTTCTACAGAAACTTACTGTCATATCAAACTTTTCAAAACACACAAAGCGACCCAACTGGAAGAAATAAAATGAGTGATAGAGATAGTAGCTATCGATAGTATGGAAAGGTTAATTCTATTTCCTCACACTAATTTTTATAAATGTGTCTGCATATTAACTTGAAGATTGTGAAATTTCTTTGATATTCAAGGATCTCAACTAGATAAGAATGATGTCATGAAAGTTTATATTGTTCTTCAGTAACAATAGCTAATGGCTCATTTCCCAGAAGTATAGAGATTAACACTGAAGGACAAGGTAGGTTTACATGAATGTGTACACACGTGTGTAGCACAAATGCTGCTAAAGATAAAACTCTAGGATTTCTACAGCAGAAAAGATCGATATATCTTATGAATTAGTTCCAAATAGAAAAAGTTAAATAAGCCTCCTGCCTTCCTTAGAACTAAGAACAATGGGAAATAGTTGTCAAACATGATTTCAGAATAAAATGTGTGTCTATTAAGGGTTGTGATCACATAAGCTGTTAAAAATAGCTTTGAGAGTCAAACATAAGAGAAATTAATAAGTTTTAAAATTGTTGTTTCCTGCTGTGAACATTAACTAAGTTCAGACTTTAACCTTGACATTTGCATGTCCGGTGACATGTAATATTGTACAAGGCTGCAGAGTTCTCATTTTTGTTTGAGAGGTCAAATCACAAATTTTTTTTATTTTATTTATTTATTTTTAGAGAGGGGAGAAAAGAGAGAGAAAGAGAGGGAGAAAAACGTCCATCAGTTGCCTCTCCCACATCCCCAGCTGGAAATCTAACCCACAACCCAGGCATGTGTCCTGACTGGGAATCGAACTGGTGTACTTTTGCTTAGTGGACTGGCACTCAGTCCACTGAGCCACACCAGCCAGGGCTGTCACAAGCATTCTCTTAGAAGTCCTCACATAAAAACATCCAAGTGTGTTTAATAAGTGTGCTTCTGAAATTTTCTAATGAACCACAATGACAAAGTGGCATCTATAGTAGCTTCACACATTGGCATCTCAAACTTGTCCAAACTTATTTTTGTTTGTTCTTTATTTCCCAGCCCTTATATGTAACATTACTAACAGCATCTCTTTTGCACTTTTTTTTGTTTTCTGCTGTATTTCCATCTTCTAGAATAAAGCCTTGCACATGGTAACTACTCAATAAATTATGTTCAATGAAATGTATTTTATTTAGGAATAAAAGTCCTTAACTTTTCTTTTTTAAAAAGGTAACACACATTGCCTTGCTACACTAGAAGAATGTCAATTAACTCATTAATTGGTTTCTAAGAAGTGACTGAGATACCAGAGTCCTTGTTGTATGGGGTTCTGTGAGGAGTGTACTATACCTTTAAAGATTTCATGATTTTAGAAAACAAACTCTTTATAAGTATACTCTTCCTCTCTCTCTCACTGTATACAGTGTTATACATGAGTGTTGTATGAATAAATGGGTTCTAGAGTTTTCTAAGTAATATTGGCTCAGCCTAGGTACAGGAAATACATGTCACACAACTATGCTACAGTATAAATTTGGTCATGGGTAGAGTCCTTAATGCCTGCACATCATGCTGTTATGAACCTAGGATGGACAACTGGCTTTGAATGACACCATGGTAGACCAAAGATGATCTAAATTTGCAGCATGAACCCGGGAGAACAACATCTCTATGCATTAATGATAATACTCACAAAAGTTACCATGTGAAGAAGAGGAGGGTGGGGATGCAGAGGACATCCTTCAGAGTTGACCAAACCCCTGAAAGACCTGGAACAATGTGCTAGTAAGTGAGGCATGAGAAGTGCCCCCCTCACGGGGAGCTGGTATTCTAGTTTACAAATGACAACAGACTTTCTTGTCACCAAAGCCCACATATATCCATGTTGGTGGTGCAGCCCTGGGTGACATTATCTCATGTTCTCCTGACTTGTATATTGAGGCAAGTCACAAAGAAAAAAAGGGGATCAAACCAGAGCTGCTTACTTAGGTTTGTGGGTGGCACTTACTAAACATACCTGCAATAAAATTTCTTTCCTCTCAGATACCTGAATTCTCAGTTTCCTTCTTTTTTATTGGTGTTATTTCCTCTTACCATTTGTTCCACCAAAGACCAAAGCAGTCTTTCCAGAATGTAGAAACATAAATCCTTGGGGCAATACACACTCCCTCCTCACTCCAGCTATTTTATAAATTAAGATGGCAATTTAGTCTTTTTTTAATCTCCAGCTTCAGCGCCTTCTACTCTCACTCAACAAGCTGTAGTGAGGCTGTAGGAGGTGACCGAACTTTTCAGCTGTGATTTTGTGAACACGAGTTACCTGTGCAGATTCTTTTAAAGTTCGGGTTTTCCAGAAGATGTCCTGGTAGGCGGCACTGGAACCGATGTTGCCAGAACTCAGGGAACCAGGGATTCCTCGTATTAGTGTCCAGCCTTAGTTTCAGAAAATAGTCGTCAAATGACCTGACTTCTGGAGACTGCAGCTTTATTGTGATTCCCCCATTGGCTTCCACCTCATAACCTTCAATGACTTCATCTCTGTCTGCCCATCCATCACTAAAAAAAGAAAAAGAAAATTCAAGGTGGGGAGAGAGATAAACATCTCACAAACAGAGCTCAGGCTTGTGCATGAATGAAGCAATTCATCAAGACTGAAGTCTATGTTAAGCCAGCAACACTACCCATGAAGGACTTCTTATGGTGGAGACTAAAAAGCTGTGAAATAATAATAATCTTGTTTCACTTTCACAGTAGTGAAAGTGATGATGAAGATGATGATAAGAGCAATTATAAGAGCTAACTTTTATTGAGCATTTACTAGCCATCAGATTCTGTGCTACTCAACCGTGTACTAAATAAGATGTTCTGGATCCAGGTGAAACTGGGCCATGGATCCAGGCCATCTGGTTCTGAAGTCCAGTGCTTTTTATAACCAGACCACAAAACCTATCAGTTCCCATCCTGACCAGGGAAAAATGAGACTCAGGACTCAGGGTCTTCACATTTAGAGCTCATCAAGGTTTCAAGGTTGCAGTCAAGACCATCCTACAAGCTGCATTGCATGAGGTAGAACATTACTTTAGTTCAGAAACATGACAACCACAGATTTTGCTCCTAGGCATTGTTCAATTTGCATTGCTTAGTAATGACCAGAGGATTTTCCCTCTTCTAATGCTATTTCAAATTAACAGCAGTAAAAGAAAACAATTTCACTCCCCCAAATAAAATAATCCTCCTGCTCACCAAATGGGAGTGCACTGATATTTTATTCAGTAGATTTGAATTTTTATTTGATCACCTTCTAGAACATTCATATCTTCCATGAATGATGTAGCTCCAGTTTAATTCAAGAGTACATATAAGCCCGGCCAACCGTTAGATGAGTGGTTGTGACCTCTCCCCAAGAAAGTGCCAAAGAAAAAGTGCACTGAACAGAGTTAAACAGGCAAAGAAGCCTTTATTCAAGACTATTCCCACAGGACAAAGGCTGAACATAATCTTCTAGAACAAAAGGTGGGAGGGCGTTTAAGTGCTAGAATGAGCTAGTAAGCACCTGCTGGGGAACACTGGGCAGGGACCGGGGCTTGGTCAACCTCTGCATTTGGTGATTGTCCCTCATCTAAGTCATGCTCCCACCTTCCCACAGAAACTGAGAATAGAGGTTTGCTGTCATTTTTGGTGCTTCCATTTTGTAAGGATGGCTCCCAATTCCCTGAGAAAAAGTTTCTCTGTTATGAAACTTGCAAAAGGCTGGGAGAAAATGCATACCTCAAAGGGATGGAGAAAGAATTTATAATGGCATGTTTTTGGAAGTAAATATTCGAAGAGAAAGGAAGTGAGTCTTTCCTTCCTTCCTCTCTCCCTTCCTTCCTTCCGTCCTTCTTCCCAGTTTTCTTACTTCAGAATTAACACCCACTATGTGCCAGGTGCTCTGCTGTGCTCGGAATTCAATCCAGAATGAGACATGCTATCGCTTGCCCCTACTGTTATAGACTTGAGGGGAACACAAACACTAAACAAGAATTTTAAAAGCTATAAAGGCAAAGGAGAAGTGACCAGTAACAGGGAGAAGGGCTTGAGGGTTCAATTTAGTCTGGCGTGTACTATGTATGTGAGTGTGGGTGGGAGAGGGATGGTTAGGAACAGCTTTCCTAAGAAAGCAATGTCTGATCCGAGATTCAACGCCTTAGTCAGGCGAGTGGGGAGGATTGATATAGAAGGTTCCTGGTAGATTTTCTAACTCACAAGGGCGAGCACAGCTCATTTGAGACTTTAGAGAGGCAGGTAAGTGGGAGCATGGAGAGGGTTGTGGCAGGAGATGGGGGCTCAGGCGTAAATCCTGCCCTGGGAACTGTTAGCCTCAGGGCTACAGGAAGACCTCCAAGTGCCTTAAACCCATTTTTAATGAGCCATTCATCTGCTCCCTGGTCCTAAATGACTTGAGCAGGTTTCTGTCAAGTCCTTTTCTGATCACCATCATTTACTATGGATGGCTCGTCACACTGATCAAAGAAAAAGAAGACAAACTTATTTATCTTTGTATACATTCCATCCACTTAGAAAAGCCCAGACTGGTTTAATTATTTAGATTTATCCACATTCACATCACAGCTACATCTACAGCCATTTGAAGGCCTGAGACACACAGTTCCTGTCCTGCTGAAAAAAAGGGTAAAAATAAAATCAGTCAGGCTTTCAAGAAATTCTGCCTGAGAGTATATATTTAAAATCAAAGTGATTTCTAACTTAAAGAAAAGAATTACTTTTCTGACATAAAGGTTAAGCTTGAAATGTGTGTCTCCTCAGGGTTTAGTATTATGGGAGATGTGTTTGTGTAGTCTGAAAAGAAACTCATGATTTTTTAAAGTGAAATGAGCCTGATAAGATGTTTATTTGCATTTCTTCTTTTTAAAGCTCAGTTTATAAAAGCAAGCATCACATCTGAGTGCTGGAAGCAGAGAAAGTGTGATTTCCCACCAGCACAGAGAAGCACATCATAGAAACAAACCTTTGTCCGTGAATACAGATCATTATAGAAGTCATATAATTGAGTGGAGTGGAGTCCTAAGGTCCCTCTGCCATAGGCCAAAGCCCCACCCCTCACTTCTAATGACCTCTTTCCAAAATTAGAGTTGGTGTTAAACCCAAGAGGTCACAACATCAAGGAGAACCAGACGTGATAGAGAAATTATCCAACTAGGATAGTTTGACTAGGACATCTTTTGAAGTGTTAGTTGCTAAAGTTTTGTGTGAGATCATTAATTTATCACAGGTAAAGTGTTAGGAAATGCTAACAAATTAAAAGTAGCTGAAAAACACCATAAAGCAACTCCTGGATTGTCTAGACTTCAGTTATTTTGTCTACCAAGCACTTGTCCTATGTATTTACAGAGAATTTTGAAAGATTCTCTTTGTTGAACAGGACTGCGATTTTTTACTAGGATTGTTTTGTGTGTGTGTGTGAGTTCCATGCAAAGCCCACTTGAAAAGACAGAGCCAGCACCTTGCTGATACCTGGTGCAGGTGCTCTCTGCTGTTGTTAGCGGTAAGGGTGGTGGCAGACTGCACCTGACCAGAGATGGCCGGCAGGCACCTGCTCACCCCAAGTGTGTGGGGTGAGTCCTGCTGTGCTGGGGGCCCGCCAGCCTCAGGCGGTGCTGGTCTCTCTGTGAGGCGCATTCATGCCTCTAGCAGCTTCTGCTGCTCCATCTGGTTCCCCATTACGGGTTCTCTTCCTTTCTGGGGTCTGGAAATAAAACTGCATAAAGTGGATGGACAGGGTGAACGGTGATCGGGAAGCTGCATGTCCTAAGTACCAGAACCTTCATTTCCTTTTCCTCCCCCTTAGCATTTATATGGAGCAACTGCTTCACAAGGCCGTTCTTCCCTTCCCACAAAAATCATTTTTCTAGTGCCTGTGAAATGTCACAACCTAAACATGAATAATAATATTTGTTCTACTTAATGCAATTTTACATTAGCAACAGGGAATATTTGTTTCTAATTCTACCAATTATAACTTCACAGAAGATGCATGAGTGTTACTTTTGTATCATATCATTTAAAATAATTTAATAAGCAAATCAACAGTTAAAAAAGCAATACAACAGCATTCATTTAAAAATTGTTCAAAAGCATTTAAAACATATCTACATACAATTAATGTAATTACAATCTAGGGAGTAAAGCAATTTGATTTGTGTTATGAATTCAAGCAATTGTGTTTACCTGATAATAAAACTATAGTTTTATTAGAACTATACTTTTTTTAATACTTTAAAAGTATTCTAGTGATTCCCATATAACTAGGAAAAAGCAAAAGCACAATAAAAACAATATTTTAAAAAACATGCAATCAAGCACAAAATTCTATAAATTACAATGCTGGCTATATTTACAAAGGGTAAAGAAATGTAGCATAATGTCATATAAATTAAGCAATGTCAGTTGTGGGAAATCTTATGGAGGGAATGGAAGGTTTTTCAATAATAATCAGACTGGCTTTATTCATTCAGCACTTATTCACCGAGACTCCTGTGCATTTTACTTACCGTTGAGGGTACATTGCTAAAAAGTGTAGGCAAGGCCCCTGTTCCCAAGGCAGCTACAGAGGTGAGGAAGTCTGGCCACTGAATACACGCAACAGCCACAGAGAGCTACAAAGACTGAACGGCAGGGAAGACAGGCCACAAGGGCACCGAGAAGGGGGGAGGGGTCACGTCAAAGGAGATTTTCTCCAAGAAGTGACACCTAAGATGAGACCAAAAGAATGAGTTGCAGTTACTCAGGTAAAGAGGGAGAAGAGAGAGGGACCCGCTAAAGAGGAGGCAAAGCTTCCAAACTGCAGCAAGGCGTTCACTTTACCTTACGGTGTGCCAGGCACTGAGTGCTAAGACAAGCACGGGCGGACATCGAGAACCTTGACATCTTTGTTAAGGTACCAGGATTTCATGTTTATGCTGGTGATAAACTACTCAAATTTTAAGCAGGGATTTGATGCAATTAGATTTGTTCATTTTAGAAAGACTATTTTAGAAAAATACCCAGAATGTACTTGTGAAGGTTCTTTTGTTCATTAATTCTCAGACAAAAACTGTGGAAACATACACAGATGTGTTTGCACACATGTGCACACACATAGGAACATGTGTGCACTAGCTAATTACATCATAACATGAAGGCGCAGGTGAGGATCTGATGAATCAGGAATTGTGGCAGTGGTCACAATTAGTTTATAGTCAATTTTAAAATTAGCTGCTGCCATTTCAACATGAATATAGAACTGGTACAAAAATGTAGAGCTATTTAATTTTCTAGAATAGGCACTTCAAAGTCACTCAGTCCACTGGAAAGCAGAGAAAGGATGAGGGGTTACCTTCACCTTTGACTATGCTCTCCTTTTAGAATTGGAGTTCAAACAGAGTTTTACTTCTATCCCTATGGTGTTTCAGTAGAAAAGTTACCAAGGGGGAGGAGGGAATGGGAAGGTGTCAAGGAGAAAGAAAGAGTGAAGAGAATTATCAAGGAGCTGGACCTCCAGGTAGAGATCAGGTGAG